AAAAATAAGTGTAGAAACAATGAAAGAGTTCATCAGTTCCACTACAGCCATGTAAGATACTGTTCTCATGACAATAATAGTGCTAATCCCTATGGGCTGAAGGTAGAGTCTACAGAAATGCAGACTGCCAATCATTCCAGGTGTCCTGTTCTTTTTCCATGGATTTAACAGACAAGGAAAAAAATCAAAGGAAACCAACTGCCTCATGGCTCTGATCACTAAAACTGACATTGTGCGGCCTCATAATAACCCAGGCCCAGAAAACAATGGTTCACCAACTTCCCCTCTCATGTGGAAGGTTATAAATAAAGCCTGGAAGGAAAGAAAATGAGGTTAGTTTGAGAACAGTGGTAGAATTCTTGCGAGAAGAAAACTTTATTTTATGAATACTTCAATGGGCCATTTTGTGGTGACAAATCAGCCTTCAGCCATTGCCTATATAAAGAGCACCACACTTTTTTGTTTTGTTTAAAGATAATTATTTATTTTATTTATTTATTATTATTATCATTATTATTTCACATGACTTTTGCCAGAGAAAGAGAAAGAGAGAGAGAGAAAGAGAGAGCAAGCTGCCAAGTACAGGATTTGAACCAGTTGGTCATGTGGGAATTCCAGTGCCTTAACCACCACACCACCTGCTGGCCCTACCGCATCTTTTTTTTGTAAAAAGCCAGATAATAAATATTTTAGGATTTTCAGACGATGTAGTGTCTGTTCCAACTACTCCCTTCTGAGTAGCATGAAAGCAGTGGTTGACAATGTGTCAATAAGTGAGTGGTTATGTGCCAATAAAACTTTATTTATACAAATAGGTAGAGGGCTGGCCCATAGGTGGTAGTTTGCCAACCCCTGTTCTACAAGGCAGATAATATAAGACAACCAGTTCTTATAGGATTCAAACTGTACTGCCCACGGGGCTCTACAAGCAATGGAAAAAAGTGAAGCAGGCTGGGTGGGTCCATGGCATAGGGACAGCATGACTCGTGGAGAAGGGACAGTTACAAAACCCAATGTTGTCAGATGCATTTTTCAAAAACACCAACAATGTGAATATTTATGGCATCTTCTAATTTTTAAATCTTGGCAACAGCTTCCAAATTTTAAATCCGGTACAGACTTGATTTAAAAAAAAAAAAAAAAATCTAGGGGCCGGCACAACGTGGTGGCAGCCAGTGTATGACCTCTGGCCCAGATCATCATCCTTCCTGAGCACCATGCTATGACAACCAAGTACACATGACACATTGAGTGGCACGATCCAGGAAACTTAGCACAAAGCCACTCTGACTTACTGCTAATGGAATGCATAACGGCCTCCGTCCTGCCTGGTGGCCGTGGGTGGTGCATACGCAGGAGACCATTCACGTAAACCACCAGTTAGCCTCATGTGCACAGCCACCCCAAGTCTGTACCGTGTTTCTCCTCCTGCCTGGCTAGCGCTCTGCTTTCTATAAGCATAGGTGGCATTGTCAGTGCTCTGTGACATCAGGTGCTGTGTGATAGTCATCGTGCAGACCTTCCTGATGTACTCAGAGGAGCATAGCGAGGTCCTCCATAAACCAAAACACCATGTAGACAACACCTTGACTAGCTCCTGGCTCCTCCAGCCTCAAACACTAACTCAAACTCTCCATTATGAGTGTTTCTTAGGCAACAAATTTATATCTAGATGAAAATGTAATCATAACCTCTTGTTTATTACAAGTGATCCTAATTTTAAATTTATGGCAGATATTTCGGGTGTTCTCTTAAACATAGTTATGTAGATGAGAACATTTAAGGAAATACAATGATGGTGGTATTGGCACATACTGATTAAAACACTGTGGTATTTATTTATTGACTCATTCATTTATTGGTTAAATTTTGCATTTTTAGAGAGAAGATCTAAGATGCCAAGAGCAAAATTCTTTTAAAAATGAAGGTACATGAATGCTAGACTTGGGAAAACCCTGGTCCAGGAGACTTCTACATGTCTTTCCACCAAAGGCTGGTAAAGTATGAATGTTCCCATTTCAGCACAGAACATGTGCTCCCAGCCACCACACTGTCTTCAATGTGGGCTCCAGTGGACCAGCCAGATGGCCTGGTAGTTAAGGCAGCAGGACCCCACGTGGCTGACTACACAGTCTGAGTCTCAGACTCAGTGGCCTGAAAAACACACTCAGTATGTGTGTGTGCATGCATGCCCAAAGTCTCAAGAGGAGTACAAAGAACAGATTATGACATGCCATTCTCTCTGGGGAGTACTTTTCCTCTCTCTCTCTCTCTCTATCTTCAGCAAGTACACATGCCCTATAATAAATTAGTAAAAACAATTTTTTTAGAGATTTTTTTTCTATAGGGCACATGCATTCACCAGAGACACAGACAGAAAGCGTGAAATCAACTCTCAGGGGTGATTGCCATGCCACCGTCCCTTCTCCTCCATTCTCCTCTCAGGATTCTGGGCACACACACACATGCACCCTGCTTGAATTTTAAGCCACCGGGTCAGGAACTCAAACAATGGTCAACTACATGGGAATCCAGTGATGTAACCATTACACCATTTGCTAGTTCTGCAAATTTAATTATTCTCTAAAAATAAAAAACATGGTTTTCAGGTACATGGTGATGATATGTGGCATTTTGGCTGCTGTATCCAAAAATGTCTGATTCAGGGGTTGGCATGGGGATGGACTTCAATAAATGATTCTGATGGAACAAAAGCATGACTCAGGTAGAAAATACTAGTATATGACATCTTTTTTCATTTGGGGGAGCATAAGCTGAGACCCCCGCATTTAGATCCTGTGGAATAGAGCCTGAACAGGTATAGGTGGGCACACGTGTGGGTGTGTACACATACATACACACACATAGCAGAGGACTCAGGGAAGTGTTTATGCTACCATTCACCGACTGCTGTGTGACCCTGGCAAAGCTCCTAACCTTTCTGAGCTTCAGTTACCCGTTAAAACTCTCTCTCTCTCTCTCTCTCTCTCTCTCTCTCTCTCTCTCACACACACACACACACACACACACACACACACCCCTACCTTATGTTTTGAATGTCAATCCAACTTGAATTTTTATGATACTGGTTTTTTTTTCTTTTCTTTCTTTCTTTTTAAAATAATTTGACTCTTGGCATCTTAGGTCCTCTCCAGAAAAAGTCAAGAATTAGATCATCAACGAATGAATGAATGAATAAATATGCAGACCTTTTATTTTCAGTGTTCTTGTTTCACATCTCATTGGCTCTGTGTTTAGAGGATTTTTAAACTGACTGGCTGGTTCAAATGATGTTTCAAACATGTTCTGGCGCGGGCTTCAGTTCTCTGTGCTTGCTGGGTTGGAGTTTGGGCGTGCCACCAACTGCCTTGGCTGGATGACAGTTTAAACACAGCCAAACAGCTGGTCCTACTGGGACTCACTGGTAAGAAGATTCCACAGAAACAATGTCCTGGCCCAAACCTCCCTGCCTCTTGGGGGTTTGAAGGGGCCAGGTGGTTTCTCTAAGTCCAAAGGAAGAGACTGGACTCAGAGGGAGCCACCTGACCCCCATCTGGATGGACCTCTGCTTTCTCTTTCCTTCTCTCCCAAGGCCCTATTTGGCTCTAACCTTCCAGCAGTAGTTAAAAGCTACTGCTTCCAGAACTGGAGTTGGTGAAACAGAAAATCAGAGACTGAACTCTCTCATGAGCTTCATCTCGTATTTCAGGTGAGGGCTTATTCCTGATGGGATGAAGGAGAAGAGACCATCTTTCAATGAGGGCCAACCCTGCTCCCTCCCCTCCAGCCATCTGGCTTCATTTATTAGCCTTTTCTGAAGGCAAAGGGCAGACAAGGGAAACTTAAGTGGAAGCAGAATTCTGTGCAATGTACTGAAAAATTTTCTAGGGATTCAAACAGCATAGTTGTTAGAAAAAGAGGAAAATGACAGGGCTGTTGTTATAAATTGAAGTGATGTCAAGACCGACAGGTGGCATGGTGGCTAAGGACGTTGGACTCCCACATGGTCCACTGTGGTTCAAGTCCCAGACCTGGCAGCTTGCTTTCTCACTACCCCCCCCCTTTTCTCTCTCTGTCTCTGTCTCTCTCTCTCTGTCCTCTCTCACTCTCTGTCCCTCTCTGGTCAGATTAAAATAAATAAAGAAGATAAAGAAAGTGCAATAAATTAATAATAAAATAATTCTTTAAAAATAATAATAAATTAAAATAATGTCAATAAAGCATTATAAGTTCTGTCTTGCCTATAGAAGGCACTCGATAAATAATAGCTCTCATTGTTGTGCAACTCTGAGCAACTCTGTGGCAGCTGCATGGCAGCCGATGTTTATTGTTTATGGTTCCACACAGCTGTTCCACCTCCCCACAGCCCCTGGTTTCTGTTGGGAGTTATCTCAGACTCAACATTCATGAAATTCAATCTGGTACAACATTTTGCTATATTGTTTAATCGGTTTTGATGCATTAAATAACCATGTTTTAGGGAATCATGTTTTAATCCAACCTTCTCATTTTTCAAAGGATGCTGGAGCCCAGAGACAGGCAGCAAGTCACACAGCAAATAAATGAAAAAAAAAAAAAAAGTCCAATCTCTTTGTTCCTGCAAACCAGTATGTTCTGTTACACTGAACTATAGATCTGCATGTACGTTTACATTTGTTCCTTACCAAGACTGAAGACTGGTCTTGGTACACTTCACATTTTGAAGGAAAGAAACAGTAATTCGTATCAAAGTGACTGATGTGGAAATGCTTCTCATTAGCACAGAGAATTCCTATTTTTTTCTTTTTTTTTTTTCTGTCTAGTCATTGTTCATGTCTTAAAACAGAAATATCCACAAAGATCCCCAGTAAAACCTAGAAACTTGGCGGAGGTTTCGGAACACCCCAATGCTTAAATAAGGGTGGTTGGATAACTTGCGGTGATAGGGAATTCAGGGGAGAAATACCCACCCCCACCCTGTAGAGATTATCCTATAAAATCCTCAGTGTGTGCATCCTGTTCTTACCACAGATCAACTTTAATTTTTTCAATCAAGCCAGGAGAGAGGAGGGGAAACCCCTTCGTGTCCACTGAGAAAGTCACCTGCAATTTGTCTGGCCCCCGTCCACCTCAGAGGCCAGCTTCTGGCCATGGTCTTGGAGATACCTGGATGTCAGCTTACTGAATCCATCCACCTATGAAAGAGGGCACCTTTGGGTGTCTGCTTATGCTTCTTTTCTGAGAAGGTAGGCCTGTCTTTCAATGCTCTCCTCTCATGTAAGGAAGGAAGAAAAGGGGGGCTATAACAGTGAATGAAATTTGGCCACTTCTTCCTTTTCTTCAGAGCTGACTCAGGAAATTTGGGGCTCCTCAGAGGCACTGAAATGCATGCTTTGTAGATATCACTCTCACGGGCAGCTTCTCCTTGCCTGAGGGAAGAAAGCCTGCTTCAGCTCCCAGGTTAGACTACACCCACCCACCTTATATGAGCAGCAGGATAACCCTGTGCCCTCCAGGGTGCCGTGTGAGCACCCAAAAGCAAGAGGCGACTCTTGTTCCTAATGTGGAAAGAGCAGGACTTCCTATGATGCAGCTGGCGTTTCCTGAAATAGAACAGGATTTGAGCAAACGGTTTTCACTAGGCGGGCAGGAAAAGCTGAGTGTGGCTCAATGTTTCATTGGTGGTGACTCAGACCCTCACTCCTGGCCACTGGCTCATCCTGGTTGGGTTTGACTTTTTTCCAATTACACTCAGCCCTCAGAGTCCCTCTTCCAGGGCCCTCTTTGCCAATGTTCATTGTCCTATTTTAGTTCTGGGAGGCCGCTCCTCTGTCTTTCCTCTAATGACATTTACGCTCAGCTCCTGTTTCTATTTTGAAATCAATTAGGTCTTGATCGAGGGCTCACGTTCATTTACAGAGTGCCTCCTTTCTGGCTCTGCCTCTGTCAAGCAGAGACAATGGATTATCTCCACCGGAGGCACAGCTGCTTCCAACGCTGTTTTCAAGTTGTGACGTTTGCCCAGGTACTACCAGAATTCATTGGAGAGAAGTGTATCGAACATGCTGACTCAGCACAGACTGCCTAAGGCCTAGTGTATCACCCAGAACCTGCTCCCAAAGTCTCTCTCGCCATCTCCAACTGGCTCTTATTCAGTCGGCAGTCAGCGAGTGCTATTAGGCACTGTGCTTGGACTATAGACGTGAGAAAGCCAGTCCGTGATGCTCGAGTATATCCCAATATGGGAAGGACTGTAACAGAGCTATTCTCAAAGCTCTAGGAGAATCAGAGAGGCGGGCCTGAGGTAGCCCCTTCTCTGCTCACAACACTCCTACCTTCTTCCCTCTGCTTTGGCCTCATGCCTTTCTTTCTGTTCCTGGCTGACCTTCACTTCCTTCTGTCTGGAAGATCTTTTTTCCATCTTCACATTTGGCTAGCTCCTTCTCATCAGTCAGCCTCAGCTTATCCCCCACCTCAAAGAGGTCTCCTGGGACCAGCTGGTGGCATAATGGTGACATCGCTGGACTCCCATATAGTCAATCACAGTTCAAGTCCCAGACCCAGCAGCTTAAAATTCATGCTGGGCACATGTACGTGCATGTTCAAGGTCGCGAGAGGAGAATGGAGGAGAAGGGATTGCTGCATGGCCATTCTCACTTTCTATCTCTCTGGTGAGCAAAAATTTCTCTAAAAAAATAAAAGAAAAGGAGGTCTCCTCTCCTTATTTATCTTATCAGCTGCTGCAGCTTCCCCAAATACACCCTGATAGTGTCTACACATTACCTATTCCCCCAGGAGCATTTTTTCACTATCTGACATTACTTTGTTCATTTATCTATGCATTGCATATTACTGGTTTTTCTGAAACAAATTGTAATCTCCAGTAAAGCAGAGACTTTGGATCTGTGTTCATCACCATATCCTCCATGCTCGGGACAGGACTGGCACATATTAGATGCACCACCAGTAAAACTCAGTAACTGGATGAATAAATAGTCTACCTGGAGAAATCAGGAAAGGCTTCCTATGTGACCTTAGGAGATGTCCAGGGGAACGATTGTACAGGTGAGCATCTCCCATAGAAAGCATGAAGCATTAGGGGATGGTGGGTGGGCAGTGAAGTGTAGGATAGCGGGATCCAAATGGAGGCTGAATAAGTCGATGGACCACATAGGGATAATATTTGAGTGCTAACCTCAGGAGTTCTTGCAATTTTTTGTTTGTTTGTTTTTGTTTTGGGGTTTTTGTTTTTTGTTTGTTTGTTTTACTCTTCTAGGACAATGATGAGGTCATTGTTCAATTAAACTTGAAGGGGGTAGCTAATCATATGACACTAGGGGTCTTCTGCTGTGAAATTTCCCCGGCTCTATGCTAGCACCCTTATTAATACTATTACTACCACTTACTAAATGCTCCCATGTGCCAAGCACTTCGCAGGCACCATCTCATTTAATCCTCACAACATCCTTAGGAGAGGTCACATCTTCCTCACTTAGCAGGTGAAGAAACCGAGATGAAAAGGGGAAGAATGCTTTTCAGAGTCTCCTAAGTAGCAGAGCTGAGGTCGAATCCAGGCATTCTGCCACTAGAGTCCATACTCCACTGACTTCCATTCCCTGGGACTGGGAAGGGCTACCTGATTTTGTATGGAAACGTGATCAGGATAATTCTAGATTCTCTGCTGTCCTGGTTTTTCAGGCACAGGCCTGGGTGCCTGCAACATAAGGCACTTACCATCCTACCTGCGTGGAACATACGCATTCACCTTCGGTTCCCTGCTGCTTATATTCTGAGGACATTCACTGAGGATGATGGATGGATGTGGCCAGGTCTTGACGAGGTCCCCAGTTCAAATGTAGTCTTTGGGTCTTAGTCCATTAGAGACCTAATCCTTACCTTCAAGGACCTCCCAGGGAAGTAGGAGAAGAAGACAAGGATGAAAAAGGCAAAGTAGGATTAGTGCTAAGGGAGTTTCCATGCACAACACACATCTTCAGGGCCTTCAGTGGCTGGACAGAACTCTTAATAAAAACAAAGGTCCCTGCAAAGACCCTGCTGGTGGTTCTTTATATCTCAGCTCAGAGGACGTATCTTCAAAGAAGCCTTCTCTTTTATTTCAAATCTCCCTCTACTGGGTTCTATCTATTTCTTCTTTTTCTTGGTTCTTATCACAGCAGCTCTGTTTATCTATGTGATTATTTAGCACTGGTCTTTCTAGAATATGAGTTCTCTGAAGGCAAGGATACATCTGCTCTTCTTTAACATTATATTCTGAAGGCCCAGCAAAGGGTCCATGCAGACTGGTTAGTCAGTAAATACATTTGAATAAATGAACTCAGAGCTGGAAGGCAGTAACCACATAAGCGATAGAGAGCAAGTTACTTAATCCCTTTCATTTTTTTCATTTGCAATTTGAATAATATCTGTTCTATGTTTCTTTTAAGGCCATAAAGTAAAATTAATTGCCTTATAAATTATTAAGTGCTATAATGATTATTTCTATTAGAGCACTACAGACTATTTCCCCAGGATTGGAACACTTCAGAAACGTCAGCAACTAAAACTGAAGCTGAGAGTTTAATGAATGAAAGTGTGGCATCCTCCCTCTTTATGTAAATGGAGATGGCCACAGAGAACCACAAATTGAGTCACACTATGTCACCTGAGGTCAACCATGGATCTGGGAATTTCAAGAAGCCATGCTTGGAATAGGTCAGCGTGCTGGGTCTTTGTAACTGAACTCTGATGGGCCAGAGGTCATGATTGTTGTCAGTACAGATAGCCCAAGTGAGCTTGAGGAGAAAAAGACACCTCCTACATCCCTGCATCTCTAACATAGTCCTAGGAAGGGAATCTTTGATGGGCAAATAGTTCGAAGTATACAGATATCCTCAGAGTTAGGGAAATGAACTTAACACGTTTCCAAAGGAACTCTACCAACCAACTCCACCCACGTTCAATTATTGCTGAATATTTTAATTCGTAACCTCACCTTCTAGCTGAGCTGCTTCCCAATTTCTACTAGCCTGGCGGAGAGAACTCCAGCTTTGGAGGCTGAAAACCAAGGCTCAAATCCCAGGAAATAAAATGCTACTAAATATCAAGTCCTGGCTGTGTGCAGACTTGGTGCAAACCACTGTTATTTCATTTATCTTCAAGCAGTCCCACTCTAAAAGAGCCCAGATCCTGCCTGGACTCAGGAATACCCAGCTCAAATTTTAAGTTCCATAAAGAAACATTGCAACAGGGTGATCATGAAAACCAACCAATGAGGATGAGCATCAGCATCACTTGAAAGCTTGCTGGAAATGCAGAATTCGGGGTCCTCCTCAAGCCTACTGAATTATAATCTGCATTTTAGCAAGATTCCAAGGCGATATGTGTGCACTTTACGGTTTTGAGGAGTTCTGATGTAAGAAAAGTTGTTGAGCTGGCTTCTGACTCCTTACTGTCCTCTCAACTTGATTATTCCATGTCTTGATTATTTCTAGACCAGTCCTCAAACTTAATGTGAATACACATCAACTGTGGATTTTGATAAAATGCAGATTCTGATTTGGGCAGTCTGGGTAGGGCTCCCAAAAATCTGCATTTCTTTTTTCTTTTCTTTTTTTTAATTTTTCATTTGAGAGTTTTTGTTTTTGTTTTGCTTTTAGGGCATGTGTACTCATCAGAAAAAGAGACAGAAAGCAAGAAATCACGCTCCTGGGGGGATGGCCACATCACAATCCCTTCTCCTCCACTCTTCTCTCAGGATTTTGGGCACACGCGCACACACACACACACACACACACACACACACCTTCTCCTCCACTCTTCAGAAATCACGCTCCTGGGGGGATGGCCACATCACAATCCCTTCTCCTCCACTCTTCTCTCAGGATTTTGGGCACACGCGCACACACACATCTGGCATGAGTTTCAAGCCACCAGGTTCAGGACTCAAACCACGGTCAGCCACGTGGGAGTCCAGGGCCTCAACCACTGTGCCACCTGGTGGCTCCAAGTCTGCATTTCTAGCATGTTCCCAGAGGGCCATGGACATACACTCAGTAACAAGGCACTAGAGGAACCTGACAAATCAAATATCTGCATCTGCAAAGTGGAAAGGCACCTCCTCTGGGGCATACACATCCAGGGGCAGGGCGCATCTCTGCTCCTCTTGTGTTCTTTGCACCTACGTCTCTGTCACAAAACAGCGTGTGTCATCACAGGATGAAAGGACATTTGTCAGTTCTCACCACTTTCCTCTTAGCACTGTCCAATGGCCTCCTATATACCTGAAAGCCCACACCTCTCACCATAGTCCACAAAGCCCTACCTGATCGGCCCCTGCCTGCCTCTGGGGCCCCTTCTTGCCTCTCCCTCTCCACTGACTTCCTACCAAGTCAGACTTTTTCTGTTTCTCAACCATACCAAGTTCCTTCCTGCTCCAGGGTCTTGGCGCCTGCCCTCCCCTCTACCTGAAATGCCTTTCCAGCAGCTCTGTCCATAGCTGGCTCCTCTTGTCATTCAAACCTCAGCTCAAATTTCACCTCCTCAGGGAGTCTGCCCTCCAGTGGCCTGTCTAATCCAGTGTACCTCCCAACCCCAAAACTTTTATCATGTAATTTTTTTTCTTAGCCCTATCAACCTGAGGAACTTTTCATTTGTGTTTACTTATTGGTTCTTTTTCCCCTTGATTCTTCATAAAAGTAGACTTTGTCCACAACTCATGATACATACTAAATGCTTAGTAAATGGTTGTGGAATGAATGGATGAAATATCTGAGGCATCTCAAAGAATCCATAATTTGCTTCTGTTGCTTCACAGGGAAGGGGAAGATTGAGTAGCACCGGAGGCCAAAAGACGAAGTGATCCTTCTTCCTGGATGAGGAATCTGGCGTGATAATCAGGATGAGCTTCCTGAAAGAGATGGTGTTTCAACTGTACCTTGAAATGTGGAAAGGACTTTGATGGACAATGACAGATGAAAACAGCCACCCGAGGCAGAAAGAACAGCTTCAGCAGAGGTGCAGTCTGGCAAGTGCAGCAAAGCTTCAGGAACAGAGCACACAACTGGGTGGAGACTCAGTACCTGCCCCGTCCCTGCCCGACCCATGGCTCCAGGCAGAGACAGCCCTCTTCATAGGTGTGGCAGAGCCTGGCAGCACTCCTGCTGCTGAGCGCTGAGGTCACTGCCTTCCTTCAGGCAGGTTTCAGCCCCACCCTGAGCCAAGATGACAAAGCCCAGCCTTCCCAGGAGGTGAGACAAGGTATTAGGAGAGAATGGACCCACCTCCATTCCTCTCCACCTCATTCCAACAGCTGACTCTGAGGTAGCTCTTGTCTTCCTGTCTCCATGGGTTAGCAAACTTTTGTACTGTCCAAGAGTCAGCAAACTTTTTCTGTAAACAGCCAGACAGTAAATACAAAATAGGGCCAGCCCCATAGCCTAGTGGTTAAGGGAGTGAGATGCTACATGGCCAACTGCATGATTCAAGCCCTAGCCTAGGGTCTTGAAAACTACATGGAGCCTATGTGCATGCATGCCCAAGGTCCTGGCAGGATGGAGACATGGAGGAAAAGACTTTATGGCATGACCACACCCCATGGGGGTGGGTGCTCTCTTCCTGTCTGTCTCTCTGTCTCTGTCTGGCAAGTGCACACACCTCTGACAAATTAAAAAAATAAATAAATAAATAGGAAATAAGAAATAAAGCCTCATACTTTAGACTTGTGGGCCAGGAGGTCTGTGACTACTCTCATCTGCTGTCATGGCATGAAAGCAGCTGCATTCAGTGTGACGGCAAACAGGTGTTCCAATCAAATCATTACAAATCAAGTAGCAAGACTATGCTTCAGTTTATGGAGCTTCTGCCTCTCCAGAGACCCCCAAAGACTATGCATGGTCTGGCCTGGGGCCCCCTCCCCAGGCTCTTTTCAATGTCACTTGATTCTTTCTACCCAGACGCTCTGAGGCTTCAAACATGTGAAGTGATCTCTCCTCCCCACTCTCTGTCACCCGCGCTCCTCTCCATCTGTCTTCCTGCTCCTCCCTTCTCTACAGTCAGTGCCTTCGTACCTCTGACTCCTCATTTAAGAATTGTGCTGTCAAAGAAATACCACAGATGCCCTTATTCTCCCCTTATGTGCCCTTATACTCCCCTTTGCAACTGCAATTATTTCTCTAACCTCTTGTGATCATTTGTTCCGGGTCTCTGCTGATCTCCAAGCCCCAGTGGAAGGAAAGACACTGACAGCCTTATTCCCTATGCTGTTCCCAGAGCTAAGAACAGGTACATGAAAGGTCCTCAACAAACACTTTTTGACTGTGATTGGGTCATGGCCCAGAAGTCTGTTCACTCACTCACCACCATCAGTCAAGCACCAGTGCACTAGGCATTGCACTCTGCAGTGAAGAGACAGGAGTGAGGCATGGCTTAGAGGTCTCTCTCTTCTCAAGGAGCTCGAGTTATGTTTTGAAGCAATATATTCCAGAGATTGATTGGATTCTGTGAATATTACTGTGTGACCTTAGCAAGCCACTTAATTTCTGAGCTTCCTAAAAAATAAAAGGGGATAAACCAAATCAGCTCATTCAGAGTTCTGAACAGTATTTTGAGAAATCCTAGGATTCCACTGTGCTCTTGATAAGCAAACAATGGTGTGTTTCTCTCTGGGAAGATTTAAATATCCTGAGCTACTTTGTTGTTGTTTCTCATTGCTTTCTGTTTTGGAGTTCCACTGGGAAGTCCATGTACAAAATAAGTTCCACTGCTAAAGACAAAGTTGGAAGCTACTTGCCTAATCCAACCTCAGTCCAGCTATTTGTCTAATCCAATCTCAATCCAGCCATGGTAGGGGTGGGGGAGATGAATGTAGAAACTAGATATCCCTCCACATTGGGGGAAGGAAAAGCAAGC